ATCCTTTCCCCTTTTCCCCTTCCTTACACCCCTCATTCTCTTTTTCCTCTTCCTTACTGCCCTCATTCTCTTTTTCCTCTTCCTTACTGCCCTCATTCTCTTTATTTCCCTTATCCCTTTCCCCCTTTCCCTTCCTTACACCCCCTCATTCCTTTCTTTCCTTACCTTACTGCCCTCATTCTCTTTTTCCTCTTCCTTACTGCCCTCTCATTTCCTCTTTTTATTATTTCCCTTATCTAATTCATTTCCTTATCCCTTTTCCCCTCTTTTTTCCCTTCCTTCCTCTTTACTTTACACCCCTCATTCTCTTTCCTTCCTACTTCGCCTCATTCTCTTTTTCCTTTCCTTTACTGCCCTTTCATTTCTCTCTTATTTCCCTTAATCCTTTCCCATCTTTTCCCCTTCCTTTACACCCACTCATTTCTCTTTTTCCCTCTTCCTTACTTGCCCTATTCCTCTTTTTTTTTCCTTTCCTCTACTGCCTCTTTCACCTCTTTATTTCCTTTATCTCCCTCTTTTCCCCTTCCCTATTACACCTCCTCAATTCTCTTTTCTCTCCTTCCATTACTGCCCTCATTCTTCTCCTTTCTTCCTTCTTTTCCTTACCTTTTTGCCTTCATTTCTTCTTTATTTCCCTTCCTTTTCACCTCTTTTTCTTCCCTTTCCTGTACACCCCTCATTCTTCATTTTTTCCTCTTCCTTATGCCCTTCATTCCTCTTTTTTCCTTCTTCCTTACTTGCCTCCTTCCTCATCTCTCTTTCTATCTTCCCTATATCTCTTCCCCTCTTTTTTCTCCCTCCCTTCGCCGCCCACTGACGACATGTTTCCTTCGGTTGTTTCATCAACCTCGACGTCAGTTTTTTAGGGTTTCTCAGATTTTTTTCTTTTTTTTTCTACTTTATTCTCTTTTTCTCTCTTACGTACATTTCTGGTTAATTTTTTTTCTTCTTTCTTCTCTTTATTTTTTTCTTACTTACTTTTTACCGTTCGGTTATTTTTTTCCTTTCTTTCTTTCTTTCTATTTCTTTTCTTTTTTACTTTTACTTTCCGGTTATTTTTTTTCTTCTTTTTCTTTCTTTTTCCTTTTCTTACTTTTTTACGTTCGGTTCATTTTTTTCTCTCTTCCTTTCTTTAGGGTTTTTCAGCTTTTTTTTTCTTTCTTTCTTTTCTTTTTTTCTCTTTTTTCTTCCTCTTCGTACATTTCGGTTTATTTTTTTCTTCTTTTCTTTCTTTCTTTCTTACTTTCTTTTTACATTCCCGGGTTGTTGTTGTTTTTTCTTTCTTTTTCTTTACTTTTTTACTTTCTTTCTTTTCTTTACTTTTTACTTCTTTTACTTTTTACATCTCCGGTTAGTTTTTTTTTTTTTTTTTCTTTTTTGGTTTGTGGGGGTGGGTTTTTTTGGGTTTTTTTTTCTTCTTTTCTTTCTTTTTCTTTTTCTTTCTTTCTTTCTTACTTTTCGCGTTGTTGTTGTTTTCTTTCTTTCTTTCTTTCTTTTCATTTCTTTACTTTCTTTACCATTCCGGTTTATTTTTTTTTCTTTCTTTCTTACTTTTTTTACTTTCAGTTGTTGTTGTTTTTCTTTTTCTTTTTTTTTTTCTTCTTACTTTTTTTTTACTTTCTGGTTGTTTTTCTTCTTTCTTTCTTTCTTTTCTTACTTTTTACTTTTCGGTTGTTTGTTTCTTTTTTTCTTTTCTTTCTTCTTCTTTCTTTTTTTTTTTCTTTTTCTTTTGCTTTTCGAGTTGTTTGGTTTTTTTTTCCTACGTTGTTTATTTTCTCCTGTTTCGTTGTTCATGGCACCCTGTGCTTGTTCATTTGTGTTTTTGTTATTATTATTGTTATTGTTTTTTTTTTAGATTGTTTATAAAAGGCTTTGCTTATTTTTTTTATTTGGTGTGTGTATATTCCAGTTTTATTTATTTGTTTGTTCTCGTTTGTTTGTGTGTTGTGTGAAAGATGAGAGAGAGAAGGAATGAGAGAGAGAGAAAGAGAAAGAAAAGAGAGAGAGAGAGAGAGACGAGAGAGAGAGAGAGAGAGAGAGAAGCAGAGAGACAGAGAGAGAGAGAGAGAGAGAGAGAGAGAGAGAGAGAGTCAAAAGTCAGATTTCAGATGAGAGAGAGAGAAAAGAAGAAAGAAAGAAAGAAAGAAAAGATAAGATAGAAAGACCCCGAGACTGACAGAGAACCCCTAGAACCGAAAGAGAGAAAAAGGAAGGAAAAAAAAAGAAAAAAAAAAAAAAAAAAAGGGAGAACAAGTAAAAAAAAAAAAAAAAAAAGAAGGGGAAAGAGAAAAAAGGAAAAGAAAAGGAACAAGAAAAGAAAAAAAAAAGTAAAAAAAAGTAAAAAAAAAAAAAAAAAAAAAAAAAAAAAAAAAACAAAATTGCCGTAAATTGCACATAAGTCGCCACGAACCTTGCTGTGTCGCGGGGTGCCACGGTGTTTCAGCGTTATGGTCGCCGTCGCATATAAATAGCTTATTATTAGGCTTAGATGACGGACGCT